AAAAAACTGAACTGACAGTGCAGAAGATAATCCAACTAACTACAGGAAACTCCACAAAAACCAAGGGTTCATACTAAACATGTTATACTTTATTCCTGTAGTTGGTTGGATTATGTTCTGCTAAAAAAAAAGTATTAGAGCTCTCTGAGTAGATGACTCATTGTTCATGTGTTCATTTTCTGTAATCTTCTGCCAAGTTTTTAAAACCAAAATCTGGATCTAATGTTTAATTGTTTTGGCCATTCATATAGGTTAAGTAACATTTAGCCAACAAGCGTCAGCTCTAGTAAAGTTTTACAAAGAAATGTAAACAGCAGCCACATGACAGGAAGAAGTTATTAATCAGAGCCAAGAGAGAAAGTCAAGAGGAGATGATGCAAAGTTGCGAGCTTGCAATCGATTGCCCATAACGGATCAACATTTCAGATGAGTTCATATTTGTTTTACATCACAATAATAATTGATTTCCATAAGTTTTTATATGATTTGTTTAAAACTAACAAATGTAAATGATTACCAATGTTAAGCCTCCATTTTAGAACCACAGATGAAGGCAGTGAAGCTGTTGAGTAAAATGTTATGTGTGGGAATGATAACATGACGCATGTTGTTTTCCTTTAATGACCCGCTCTGTGTGCTTTGCCACTTTAGGACCGCACACTGAGAATCATCCTCCAGCCGTCCAAAGCAGGCCTTTCAGAGCTGCTGCATTTTGTCTTGGATGCTGTGCTTTCTGACCATAACTGGAATCATCCTCCTATACATACTTTGTAAGATAAAATACACCCCACAACTACTGACAACCAAATACTGAACCTGTTCACAATGCAGAAAAACTGCTGCAACTGGTCTATGAAGCACATTTATTAAATGTTTTCCACCAAAGTTTGCTCAGTTACACTAAAGTGTACTTTCTAGTTCTCCACAACCAGATCTAATGAATCAAGCTGGAGGAGGTTGAGACGGTCTGGTTTTGTCTTGAGCACCAGCTTCAGACTTTAAAGGATAGGTTCTTATTTTTTGTTCATCTTCATATATACTGACCTGCCACATGCATGCTGAAAGATTTATTTATCGCTGTAATCATTTGTCCTGCCAGCTCTGTGTAAAATGCATTCTAACATTCAGCTGAAGTTTTATGAGATCACAGCAGTCTGAGTTATAAAAATCAAACAGGTATCTTGATCCTAGTAACAGGTTGGGTTATTGCCAGTGTTGTGTCTCGGCAGCATCCTTCCACCGCACAGCTCAGTAAAGAAACACAGTCCGTGGAAACAAAGTGGGAACATTTTACTAAAAACAAGTAAACTTTCATTCTGGTTAACTCAGACTAATGAAGCCTCATTCTAGCTTTGGCTGAACTTAAGAAAAATTTTTGCACACAACAAAGACTGTTGTTTTCATGTCCATAATTTTTACACTGCAGTCACGCTAGGAGGGGAATTACTTCAGAGCCAGTTCTGAGAGGATTAGATGTCAATGAACATAGTGCATATGAGTCTGTACTTTGTTTAAAAACACATAGACAACGTCTCTGAAAATAAAATATACCCCATAGCTAAAAAAACAAAAACCTCTTTTATAGTTACTTGATGTTTTTTGGGACGGCTGTGGCTCAGGAGGTAAAGAGGGTCGCCCACAATCGGAAGGTTCCTCTAGTCTGCATGTCAAAGTGTCCTTTGGGATGATACTGAACACCACATTGTGATGAACGAGTGTGAATGTAACATGTAAAGCGCTTTGGATGGTCTGATAACACGAAAGGTGTTTTATCATAGAACATTAAAATATGCAGAGAAAGTAATGCAATTCTGTCTTTAGTTTGAGGCAAATGATTTGGTGTTGTTGGTGTGTTTCTTATGTTGTTGTGCTTCTCACCAGATATTTCAGTCACTTCGGAAAAAGACCAGCTGCAGACCAGATACGACAAACTGAACAACAACTACAGCGAGCTGCAGGGACAAATTTCAGGTAAGAAAGGTTTAAAACCGTCCATCCACCTTCATCCGCTTATCCGGGATCAGGTCGCGGGGTTTCAAAACAAAATAAGCAAATACCAAAATACACAGCATCTAACTTCAGACTGCTTATTAAGATAATATTTTAAAATATTCTAAAGACTTTTATCTCTTATTGTTTTTCCTCAAGAAATGACAGTCAACAACAGTCAGTTACAGAATGAAGTAAAGCAGCTGAAGGATAAAATTGAAGGTGATGAACAATGAACACCAGCATCAAACTAATTCACTTGATATAACTTGACTTTGCCATTACTTTTATAGAGCAAACAACAAGTGGCAGGCAAGAAAGATCTTTAAGAAGAAAGTGAAACATGGTTTAATCAATTTAAATGACATGAAATCCATCTTTTAACATTTGACATGAAGGGAAGTGGTGCCCTGAAGGATGGAAGAGATTTGGATGCAGCTGTTACTTTAAATCCAATGAGACGAAAACTTGGTCTGACAAGAGAGACTGTCAAAGGAAAGGAGCACATCTGGTGATCATAAACAACAAAGAGAACAGGTGAGTGTGTTTGTTACTGAGTGTGTGATCTTAGATGTAGCTGCCAGTGATCTGTTACTTCTGTTTTTGACCTGCAGCCAGTCGGCTTCCTATGACGATGCATTAGGGCCATTGTAGGTGGAAATAAAAAACATTACGGAGCGAAGACAAAAAAACCTTGAATATTCTCTGAGACTAAGGTTATAAATTTGAAAGAGAAAACTTGAAAAACAATGTTTCAGTAGAGTTTTGCATTATAACCATCTAAAAACTGAGGAGCAAACTGGCTCTGTTTGGGTCTGTGAGCTTTATCGGAGGTGCTGAAGTTCACATTTGTGGTGAGATTTCTGCCTGAAAGTGTTTTCAGGTAGTTTTAGTTTCCACCTCCTTGTCTCATCCTAACATACAGTCCCAAACGTGCTTCTGTGTCTGTCAGACGGTCTGAAGGGGAAACTACCACAGCAGCAGAGCAATAACGCAGGCTAATCCCCCACACAGAAAAGGAAACATCCACCTGTCATCTTGCCACTCAGTTTTCCTCGTTGTGATTCACTGTAACTTACAATGCTGTATTTAAAACCAGTTTTGAATTAAGAATTATGAACAGAAAAATTATTTTGTCTCTTGTCAAATCCTAGAAATTTGTCATTGAGCTGAACAAGGATGGAGACTCCTGGATTGGTCTATGGGTACAAACAGGAAGGAAATGGGAATGGGTGGACGACTCGCCGCTGAGAGAATCGTGAGAAGTTTTAAAAGTTGTTTGTTTCCATCACAATTCCATTTGTTAATAAGATAAGTATGTTTTTAAAATTAGGATGAAAACAACAACAAAAATCACATTAATTTACAGAACTGAATTATGAGCTAAAAACATTATTAAAAGTTAAATTGTCATTTATTACTGCCAATAAAAATATTTCAAGTGAAATCCAACATCTTACTTCAAATTGAAAATAATCAGGAGTGACAACATTTTATTTCTCCTACAGGTTCTGGGCTTCAGGACACCCGCACAGCAACTATTACGCTGCATGCTGCGATAAACAAGGAAAATGGACGAGCAGATATTATGATAGTAAGAACTGGATCTGTGAGAAATAGATTTCCTGTTTATCTTGAGGACAGAGGGGTGTGTAGTGTTGGGATCAACTTTGTCAAATCAGACCAACTCACATTTTACATTTCTTCAGTTGTTCATTCTGTGTTGCATCCTGAACAACCTGGATTACATAGATATTGTTCCTCTGCCCTACACAGTGAACAGTCTGGTTGGAAGTCATCCACACAACTACATGTGCACTTACCCTCTCTGCAGAGAGGGATATTACAACAGCCTGTTTTCAAAAAGCCTAAGATGTCACATACATGACAACAAGGGGAAAGACGGCTCCTTTCTGTTTCAGTGTTATTTAAGCCATTATCATAAAGGACAAACCTCATAGGCTTCTTCCACAGACCACTTACTGATGTAGTTACACTTGGGAGGAGGAAAGATTATGAATGTGTTTTGGAGAGAAGAATACACCTGATTTTGAATAAGATGTCAATCCATCTTTAATGCTTGCTTGCATTTACACTTTTTCCCCAGACAAAAGCTATCCAATCCTCGCCTGATGAATAGTCAGTATTAGTAATAGTCACATACTAAGGATGATATTCAATCATCGCTCTTGTTTTTCTTCATAAACTTACAACAGAACAAATTATATGTTGATGTAACTAATCATGTATCTAAAGTTTATCATCATCATTGAACCATTAATACTTGTCACGTCATTTCATCTACTAGACAGAACAAAAATAACTGGTCAACACATCACATTTCCTGTGTCAGAGATGCATGTGTGAATAAACTATATGGAGAACATGAATGCAGCTTTGCACAAATGTGTGA